CGTTGGTTCGTCGGTTTATGCCGAACTGTGCTAAGGGACCTATAAGCAATTTTATATGCCTACAATCAACACTAGCATCTCTAATCTCATCATTAACCTGCTGCACTTTTTCCTCAGAATTCAGGTTTTTACCATTAGGAACTTGTTGTACATTATCCTGTGCAACTCTTACAAGCTGCGTAACATTTCCTTGTCTGTGCACATGCTGAGCATGTTTTCCACAAACAAGAGTATTGAATCCAGTGCTTTGAGTTCCAATGTTTTGCGCCCCCAAAACATTTTGTCTAGCATTTCCTTCCTGCTGCACTTTTCCAACTATTGGCTTTGGCACAACTATATCAACACCAACATCTCCAATCTCATCATTAGCCTGCTGCACTTTTTTCCCAGAATTCAGGTTTATGCCTCCAGGAACTTGTTGTGCATTATCGTGAGCAACTCTTACAAGCCGCTTAATAATTGGAACCCATTTCTTTTTTGGTAGCTTGTCTCCTACATCCCTCAGTTTCATGTCCTACTATGTTGCATAAAGAACACCATCTTGGTTTAAGTTCATATAATACTTTCTGATTGTAACTTCTTCCATTAGGCCCTTGAATAGCTATTTGATCAGAAAGGGACTCTTTCAAAGGAAGATCAACTTCCAACAACACTCTGGCATAACTCAACCTCTGCCTTGTGGCTGTGAGCTTATCCGTAGTAATTAGATGACCAATAAGACTTGCCACTTTGCAAATTCCTATAGAACTCCACAAATTTAGCCTCAAATTAGGAAACTACACCCACATAGGGTAGCTATAGTCTTGGATTTTCTCCATGTCCGTACCAAATAGTCCATGGCTTAAGAATCAACGACCTATAACCAAAGAACCAGGGCCGTGCCTCAAGTACTCCCCTCATTTGTTGTTTAGTTTAAAAATTTAACAAAAGACTCCTTGTTTGATTAAAGAGACTTTTGGGATAGAGATTGCAGCCCAAAGTTTGCTAACATAAGATTCCATAGCCTTGAACCTAACATTAATACCAATAACATGACCAATTAATACATTTTTCCAGAGATCTTCCCTTTCTTTCCACTCCTCCGCAGAGAAAGTAGCAGTATTGGATTGCAAATGAGGTACAAAGTTTAATGTCAACCCTTCACCAGATTTCCTGTTGTTAGCAAAGAGGCTCACAAAAGATTTTCTATATTCTTGCTTATTAGTTTCTAGATTAATATTCTTCCCATCAGTAGCGCTAACAGATTCTTGATTAATGCAATCGTTATTAGGAAAATTTTCAGCATTCAAATTATCATGAAACGATATAACATCTTCTTGAATCAAATCAATCAAAGAATGAGATTCTTCGCCAGCAAAAACAGATTGTTTACCAGCAGAAACTAATATCGGTAATCTCATCTTGAATTGAATCAATCAAGGAATAAGAATCAAAATTATTCATAGATTTAGAAGGTCAGATGATACCTCCTCCTTCTCAAGTTCTTCAGCCTAGGAAACAGAGCTTCCAATGCCAGAGATCGAAGACAAACCAAGATGACGCGATTGAATTCCGATCAACTCCGGCGACCTCTACGACCTCTGAGAATGAAGATGAGCCATTTGAAACTCATTAGATCTAAGAATCTCCATCATTAATTTCTTCTTCTTTTATCCTTTAGAGCCTGTTGACCCCATTACATCAAGATCCAGATCTTCATATTCTTCCTCAAATCTTGTATCAGACTGATCCTCATAAGATCGTACTCTTGAATTTGAAGCTCTTAATCCTATATTAAAGATTCCCCCCTACTTTTCTTCTTTTTTTGCCATCGAGATCTTGGCGGGGGAGCACGTTAGCAGGAGAAAATTCGCCCGCTAACTTTTTTTGCCATCGAGATCTTGGCGGGGGAGCACGTTAGCAGGAGAAAATTCGCCCGCTAACCGCTAACCTGCATCCTCAGACAATCCCGCCCCTGTTTTGACCTATAAACTGATAATTGTGTATATATGCTATTGTTATTTAGTAATGTTCCAAAAGATTCTTATTCTTGATCAATTTAAGATGTCAAAATTAAATTTTATCCGTTAATTTATCATTTCAAATGTCTCCGCCCTCACCCTACACTTAATATGGTTAATTGTATTCCATTTCTCTATCCTCATGCTCAATAGATCATGGCAAATACAAACTACCATCTTTTTTAAATGAATTATTAATTTATTGGAGAAAATTTGAACACATAACCACTTTTGAAGAAGAATATATAGTTTTTAGCATTCTAAACATGAAAAGTAATTATGAATGACCAAATTTTGTACGTGTTCCATTTGTTTGTTATTCAGATCAATATTTTTAATATTTAGAAACAATTTATGGAGACAAACCAAGTTACTCGGGTCAAGATGCTTAATCTATGCCATGTTCTTTTAGTTGGATCTTATAGTTCACGCATCTCTCTGAAGTCTAAATCTATCTATCCATACTATATATACTAATAAAACTTGCCCTCATTATCATGTACATCGAACAAGTCCTCTAACTAATTAAATATTGAGATGGTTTTGCTGAATACAATGAAAATTCAATTCAATAATGAGAAATTCTATAAAATATTAGCATATAGGTCCTTTTCCCAACTTTTCCATTTTATTCAAGGGGCTGTTTGGTTGGTTTCCAAAAACCCAAGAATAGGAAATTGGAGCTTGGAAATCTCCAAAATTTCAATTTTCACCATTTTCATCCCTAAAACTTACCCACAACATCTAATAAAATATTTTTTCATCCAACAACTCATCCACATCATCCAATAAAATATTATTTTCATCCAACAACTCATCTCATATCATCCAATAAAATAAACCAAATAAAAGAAACGGGTCACATCATCCAACTCATCTCATCTCCATCCCATCTCATCTTTAAAAATCACCCACATCATCCAATAATATTGTGACAACTCATCTCATCTCATCTCCATTTCATCTCCACCCATTTCCTCCAAAAAAACAAGGAAATTGATTTCCTTAAGTGTGGATCACATCATCCAATAATATAATGACAACTCATCTCATCTCATCTCCTATCCTTTTTTTTTTTTTTTTTTTTGGCAAGCAAACGGCCCCCAAGTGCATTCTCCGCCTAGCTGTAGAAATATTCTTCCATGGATATAGGTCAATGTAGGGCGGGCCATGTTCCCTTTGTGAAAAGCGTTTATAAGTTTTTAAATTAAGTTTGGTCCAAATTGAAGCTCGTGTTCTGTATTTTGAGACTGGTAACATATGGAATCCTAGCTAGCTCCTAATTTTTTTTTTATGTATTATATTATCTAATGATCCTTAAAAACTTAGGTAAAAGCGAGTTATCATTTAATTCATCCAACTGTAGTTTCATTTGTCTGCGTCACCGACAAAAGGACTCAAAGCATGACTTTTGATTTCTTTGATTGTTAAGTAGCTCGAATTGTGTATCGACCAAGACGTTTATACATAATTAAGTGGGCGGTAGTTACGTCGGAGGCTTAAAAGTGTGGAATTTATTTTGCTTTGACGTGTGACATGCATAAGGTAGTTTCCAGCCAATTAATTAGTAAGGGAAATAGTTATAAGAAACAAGAAAGCAAGTTCATTAGATAATATAATACATAAAAGTGTGGAATTTATTTTGCTTTGATGTGTGACATGCATAAGGTAGTTTCTAGCGGAAGAATCCTTTAACATGTTCAAATCTATAGAAGTGGATAGACATAGAGAGGCAATATGATTGCTTGCCTGTTCTTAGTCAGTTGAAGGTTGGGGTTTTTTCAGTTTTTTTCATAGAGAGGCAATATGATTGCTTGCCTGTTCTTAGTCAGTTGAAGGTTGGGGTTTTTTCAGTTTTTTTTTCCCAATGAAGTTCACATCATGGAATGTTCGTGGTCTCAATGACCCTCTTAAAAGGCGTTTGGTTAAGGATTTTTTGTCTAGTCACTTGATTGATGTGGCTGGTCTTCAAGAGAGCAAACTCTCTGACCCTACTCCAAGGAAACTTCAATCTATAGGAGGTAGGAGGCTCTCAGAGTGGTGTTACCTTAACTCCACAGAATCAAGAGGAGGTGTTCTTGTGGGATGGTCTGATGCTTTTTCATTAATTCAGTCTCATGTGGGAATCTTCTCTGTCTCAGTCCATCTTCATCATAAACCATCTAATTATTCTTTCACCTTTACTTCTGTCTATGCCCCTATAGATAAGGAGGATAGAGCAGTCTGTTGGTGGGAATTAGACCGTATTCGTTATATTCTTCCTGGACCTTGGATCCTATGTGGTGATTTTAATGTCACCTTATCATCAGATGAACGCAATGGCCGTAATGGATCTCCTAGTGACATTAAGTCTTTTCGGAACTTTATCTCATCCACATCTCTTATTGATCTACCTCTATCTGGAAGGAATTTTACATGGTCTAACAAAAGGAAAAAACATCTATGACAAGGCTAGACAGATTTCTTATTAATTCTGATTGGGAAAATATATTCCCATCATGCATTCAATTTTCTCCTCCTTCTTTTGGGTCAGATCACTTTCCTGTTATTCTTGACAATGGTTGTTTGAAAAACAGAGCTCCTGTTTTTCGTTTTGAGAGATGTTGGTTTCACAACTCTGATTGACAATGGTTGTTTGAAAAACAGAGCTCCTGTTTTTCGTTTTGAGAGATGTTGGTTTCACAACTCTGATTTCATCCCTTATGTTTCTTCATGTTGGTCATCCTTCAATGGTAAGGGAAATCCAGTTGACATCTTCATCTTGAAGTTAAAACTTTTAAAGAGAAGATTAAAGTGGTGGAAAAAAAATGTCTTTGGCTGTATATCTACAAGGAAGTCTGATATTCTAGCTAAAATTAATGCTTTGGATTTACTAGAAGAACAAAGACCTCTCTTAGATTGGGAATTTAGTGAAAAACAAAATCTTCAAAATTCCTTCACTAATATCATTAAAGAAGAAGAGACATATTGGCATCAAAGGTCCCGAGTCCAATGGTTAAAAGAAGGTGATGCTAACACTTCTTTTTTCCACAAAACTGCTTCTTTTCATAGGAAAGCCAACTTCATTGCTGTTATCAATTTCTAGGGCAGAGATCTTATTGGAGATGATGATGTTTCCTCTGCTTTCTATCAGTATTACCATGATCTTTTTGGGAATAGTAAAAATAAGTCTTTTCAGATTGATTGGGCTTCTTTATATCCAGACAAAGAGACTAATTTATCATCTTTAGAAGAGCAATTTTCTGAGGCAGAGATTAAAACTGTAGTTTTTGGCATGAATGCTAATAAAGCCCCAGGCCCTGATGGATTTTCTATGGTATTTTACCAAACTTTTTGGGATTTGATCAAGGTAGACCTTATTGCATTAATGCATTTTCTACATGATAATCCTTTTCATCTGCAAAGAATCAATAAAGTCTTCATTTCTCTTATTCCTAAAATTAAAGACTGCACTATGGTGAAAGACTTCCGACCAATTAGTCTTATCAATTGTATTTTCAAAATTTTCTCTAAAATTTTGGCAAATAGGCTATCCCAACATATGTCTTCACTTGTGGCTCCTTCCCAATCTGCCTTTCAAGCGAGTAAATCTACACTTGACTCCATTCTTCAAGCAAATGAAATGATCCATGCATGTTCAAAAAGGAAGAAGGAAGTTGCTATGTTTAAGATTGATTTTGCAAAAGCCTTTGATTCCATTGACTGGTTATTCCTCATTGAATTGTTGAAAGCTAGGGGTTTTGGTAACAAATGGTGCTCTTGGATTCTCCACATTATATCATCCTCCTCTTGTGCAGTTCTTGTTAATGGCTCACCGACTAAATTTTTCTCATGCAAACGTGGTCTCAAGCAAGGTGACCCTCTTTCTCTAATGTTATTTAACATTGCCGTTGATGTCCTGAATAAAATGATTATGAACAATGTTGAGGAGGGTCTTTTATCATCTCTTGGGCTCAAAGAACCTCTCAATCAACTAAGAATACTTCAATTTGCCGATGATACTCTTCTTTTTGCTAAAAGCTCTTTTAAGGATATCTCTATTCTTAAAACTATTCTCTATATTTTTGAAGACATTTCTGGATTGAGTATCAATTACTCAAAATCATCCCTCATATATTTCGGAAGATATCCTTACAAAGCACAAAGACTTGCATCTTTTTTGGACTGTAAAGTTGAATATTTACCTATTAAGTATCTTGGTCTACCTCTCAAATATGGCAAACTTGCCAAATCAGATTGGCAACCCCTGTTAGATAATCTTTATAGCAAGCTGGCCTCCTGGAAAAAAACTTCTCTATCGTATGGAGGTAGACTGACACTTTTGAATTCAGTTCTTACATCAGTCCCTCTATACTATATGTCTTTTTATAAGCTACCTATATGGCTTTCCAAAGAAATAGACAAAGTTAGAAAAAATTTTCTTTGGACAGGCAAAGCAGATTCAAATAACTTCAAATGTTTAGTGAGCTGGAAAAAAGTATGCTTAAGTAAAAAAGAGGGAGGTTTGGGTGTTAAAGACATCAATTTATTCAATTACTCCTTACTATCTAAATGGTTATGGAAATGTATGGACAAAAATTCTTCAACTGGAATCTTTATCCACAATTTATATGCACCTGAGGGTTCTTTCTTGCAATCCAGGAATTACAATGCATCTAATTCATCTTTTTGGAATTCTGTTCTATCTATCAAAGATGCTTTTTTCCATAACATTAAGTGGTCTATTGGTTCTGGAGATAATGTAAGATTCTGGGAAGATAAGTGGGTAGGATTTAATACCCTTGCAAGTGTTTTTCTAGAATCTTATAGGCTAGCCCTCTCCTCTAATGTTCCTGTCAGTAGCCAAGGTAACTTCTATGACAATGATTGGCAATGGCATTTGCTGATGAAAAGAAGTATCTCTCCAGGAGCACAAGCAGAAAAAATGTCTATTCTGAATCTTATTAGGGACTTTCATGTATCTCTCAACTATGATCAACCCCAATGGAATCTCACTCCTAATAGACAGTTCTCTGTCAAGTCTTTCTACAACTTTCTTAATCAAAGAGGAGTTATCAACCCTTTGTATAAAATTATCTGGAATCCTATTGTCCCCTCTAAAGTTCGTATCTTTCTTTGGCTCCTTACAAAAAACAAATCGCATACAAAAGATGTTCTGCAACTAAAAGGTTGGAATGGAGATTTAGCTTGTTCTTTCTGCGGTCTTGTACCAGAGACCAGGGAACACTTATTCTTCTCATGCCCTATAACCGTGAGAGTCTGGAAACACTTCAGGATCTACTACTCACCTTTTAATTGGCCAAGTACTTTGGATGATCTCTTGCTCAGTCTTGAAAGTCTGCATGAAATTCAAGGGCTTCTTTGGCGTATTTTTCTTGCTGCAGTCTGCTGGAATATATGGACATCAAGGAACAAATGCATTTTTGAACGAGCTCCTTTCTCTTTCAAATCTATTATTAACTCTACAATATCTGTTATAAATGCTTGGGCAGGCTCTGGAAGTGGATTGGCATCACAGAAGATTAAGGTCAAACTGGAGGAAGACCCAATTCAAAGAAGCACCTGATATTATAGAAGTGATGTGGCTGATCTTTTTTGGGGTTTTTGTAAAACTTTCCTATATGGTTTTTTTCTTTTTATATCTATTGGGCTATAGAAAGTTTAGTTTCTCTTTTCTATATATATGACTGGCTTTTGTTCTTTCCTATATCTGTGTCAACGGGGAATGACGGCAATGCCATCTCTTCACCTTTATGGATGTTTGAAAGAAGAAAGTTATATATCACTAGTCTTGAGAAACTACTTTTTCTATCTTCCAATACATGGATACATTTCGTATCCCACTTTTGTAACAAATCTTTTTTATAATATAAATGACAGGGTATATCCCTTGTTTTTTGCTCAAAAAAAAAAAAAGAAAGCAAGTTCATTATCCTGATTTTTTTACTTGATGTTACTACAAGTTCTTGATAATTTTATGAAGAAATCAAAAAGTATTCTGAGAAATATTGCAACTTTCTGGTAATTATATAAAAAAAAAAATGTTTGTGATAGATTTTTTAAAATAACCGCTTAATTTTCATCATAATTCTCTAAAAATTCTTTAAATCTAACTGCAGAAATTAAAAAAGCCATCTACTTGTAAGGGTTACAGTACTTGGTAGGTATTTGGTCACATAGGTACTGTTATTACTCTAATGCAAGGTAATTTAGAGTCATGTTCAGACTCGGTCCATGCAAGTGATCTTGAGAAAACTTATTAGTTAATTAAATTTTATATTCTTGACTACAGGAAGAAGGGATTCCGAGTCAAACAAATCTCTTAGTGTTATTTAATCTGAGGAGCACTAGGGGCACACCCCCAGGCACATCCCCAACCACAATCCCCCACCTGCTACAGTATAGGGGGGTCCCACTTGAGATTTTTTAAAATGTAGCAGGTGGGGGATTGTGGTTGGGGATGTGCCGGGGGGTGTGTCTCTAGTGTTATTTAATCTCTTATACTTTCCTCTATAGAGCCAGCTAGTAAACAAGATGCGGTCAATTTAATTAGGAACTTGTGTCAGTGAGGGAAGAATATTTCAATGACAGTCAAGGATATATATACATTATGTTTTTATTTTATTTTGCTAAATTACACAAAACATCCATAAACTATTATAAATAAAAACTTCCGCGAACTTTTCTTGAATATATAAGACATTCATGAACACTGAAAAACACCCAGCATAACTCTAGTGAATTGTGATGAATATGGTAAATAATGCCCTCATTTATTTGATTTAAAATGGCAAATGAATTTGTAAATAGAACGAAGACAGCAACCGAAGCTAGCTTGCATTTATTTGAGGTGCTTGCATTTCCGTCTTCTCAAATAAGCAGGTATCTAGTGTTAATTAAGGGGGTGTTTGGTTACATTTCTATAAATTATAGGAAATGTTTTCCATCCCAAATTTGATTTCCTTGTATTTCTTAAAAAAATTATAGGAAAAGTTTTGAGAAGTTAAAAAGTACAATTTTTTTTTTGTATTGTGCTTGTTTGGTTCAAAACAAGAAAATGAGAAATAACTTTTGGGAAAATAGCAACATTTCCTATAATTTATAGAAATGTAACCAAACACCACCAACTTTATAGAAAAGTGAAAACTTTGTAGAAAAGAGTTAATGAGTTTTATTATTTAAATAATGAATGCGTCAGATTTCCAAGAGATTTCCTCCCATTTTAGAAGGAAATCAATTTTCATAAAATTTGGTACTTTTCTGTACTTTACAGAAAACATTTCTGTAATTTTTTTTGGAGCCAAACACATTTTATAGAAATGTATAAAAAACTCTTAATTACATAAATGCCATGCGTCAGTACTTTTGAGAAAACATTTCTAAAAAACAATGCAACCAAACACCCCCTAAGTGTTGAGCAAAATTATCCATAGTCTTTAGGAGAGT